TCTCCAAATCTCCAAATCTCCAAATCTCCAAATCTCCAAATCTCCAAATCTCCAAATCTCCAAATCTCCAAATCTTCAAATCTCCAAATCTCCAAATCCCCAAATCTCCAAATTTCTAAATCTCCAAATCCCTAAATTCTCAAGTCTCTAAATCTCCAATTTTTCAAATTTCCAAATTTCCAAATTCCCAAATCTCCAAATCCCTAAATTTCTAAATCTCCAAATCTCCAAATCTCCAAATCTCCAAATCTCCAAATCTCCAAATCTCCAAATCTCCAAATCTCCAAATCTCCAAATCTCCAAATCTCCAAATCTCCAAATCTCCAAATCTCCAAATCTCCAAATCTCCAAATCTCCAAATCTCCAAATCTCCAAATCTCCAAATCCCCAAATCTCCAAATCTCCAAATTTCCAAATCTCCAAATCCCTAAATTCTCAAGTCCAATCTCCAATTTTCCAGTTTTTCAAATTTCCAAATTCCCAAATCTCCAAATCCCTAAATTTCCAATTCTCCAAATCTCCAAATCTCCAAATCCCTAAATTCTCAAATCTCTAAATTTCCAAATCTCCAAATCTCCAAATTTCCAAATTTCCAAATCTCCAAATTCCCAAATTTCCTAAATCCCCAAATTGCAAAATTCCTGAATCTGTTACCCAAGAAAAATTTCCTTTCTCATCATCACAAATGCAAACTATATTTTTAAACGCCTAAAAACTTGATGAAATAACAAAAAATAATACATTTTGAATTTTTAAATTTCTCTCTAAACACACATCAAAGTATACTTATCATGTTTCAAACAATTGCAATTACTCTTAAAATTCAAATAAAAGAATCAATGAATAAGGTCAGCGTTACAGTAATTATTGTTGATATATTTATTAATGATTTTGTTAATTTATATTTACTTAACCAAATAAATCAGTGAAAGCAATGTCCTTGTTGACGCATAGAAATCCTTCGTTTATGAATCAGTCATGAATTGATGCCACGGTGCTTTGAGGATTTAATTGTTTGAAAGACCGTATGATTATCTTTGAGTAACAAAAGATTCACAATGTTATCTTGTGAGACTGTTTCATTAACATGATCTCACAGACAAAAATTCTTACAATTTTGTAGATCGAAATGAGGAAAATTGTAGTGTAATATGAAATGAGGTTATGTTTGTCGATTGTACAACAATACGTAATATTGTACTGTATTTTAATATATTTTGTTTAACACTAAAAATATTAGAGCAGTCAAATAACTTCTTTACAAGCCTCTTATTACAAATCATGCAATTTGTTAATTTTCTTGAAATCCGCATTGATTTTCATGGAAGTAAAATTGTATATATTAATTTATGTTTTGTTTGTTTATTTATTTTTTAATGTAATTTTTCTGATGAAAGATTTTCAAGGTAGACTATTACACGAAATGTGAAATATTACAAATTAATTTATATATATAAGAGTTTAATGCGAATGATAATAAACTAGTCACAAAATATGTGAATTTATATTCACAAAGAAATTCGTTCCATAAACAACACCCGAGCTCTTTTGCATCTTATGTTGCACGTCTTCTTCAAACACGACTGTAAACAACGAACGCCAAAATGTTACCGAAGATTTACATTCAGTCAGTCATAATGCATCAGCAACTTCTTTGAATACTTGCTCAGTCACGAATGCACCAAATAAAATGTAGCTAATTCAGAATATCAAAAGCCAAATGTAGATCATTTTTTATTCTTAATTAAAGGTAGAATTAAATATGTAGATATCTGATGATATTGATATCATAAGAATGCTTGAATCTTTTAAAACTTTTACTGCTGTTTTAACCGCAATCATTTCTTAATATTTGGTATCTGACATTCAACTGACATTTTATTGTTACTCTCATCAGCTCTGCGAGTAATTGTTTCTACTTTTATCTTTCTCGGCTTGTAAGAATGAATATCATGTACTAATTTGATACTTTCATACTATTCGTAAGAAATTATAAGACGGTTTTCCATAATTAATTTCTTGCCTTATGGTTTGTCAGGTAAGGTGAAGTGGGGTAAGTTCGTAAACGGGGCAAGTGCGTATACAGCCAATTTTTATTACAATATGAGCGAAATTTCTCCATTTAGTATGTTTGTTTCCTTGTTTTGTTTCACTATATCCCCTTTTATATTTCAGCTAAGAGTACTTGTTTGCAGTATAGAGTACTTGCATAATGCAGTAAAAAGCATTTTATAACAGATTTGTTAATAATTCTGCTCTTGCCCCATAAAAAGCATTTTATAAAAAGCATTTTATAACAGATTTGTTAATAATTCTGCTCTTGCCCCATTGCACATGAAATAAAGTTTCAAAGCATTTAACTTCAAGTTACGCTCTTACCCCATTTTCGGGGAAAGTGCAGAGTAGTTGACATTTTAAACAATTTCCTATCAAAATCAAAATGTACAAGGAAAATTAAGGTCCTAGTTAATATTAATTAAATAGTAGTAATTGTGCAAAGTGTTCGATATCGACAGCGTTAAGTATTTACATAGCAGACTGAAAGTATAAATACGTTTAAATACCAACTTTACAAAAACCAGTCTGCACTTACCCCACTTCACCTTATCTCAGTTGGAATTAACTAATCATAGCTGCAATATTAAAACAGAGAAAAGAAGTAATATTTCAAAATATTATGTCAATTTTCTGTTATGTAATTTATGGTTGAACC